ATATATATATATATATATATATATATATATATATATATATATATATATATATATATATATATATATATATATATATATATATATATATATATATATATATATATATATATATATATATATATATATATATATATATATATATATATATATAACTAAATATTTGGATCATACATATTTATTATATCATACAATTGTCTTAACTTGATCAACCTTACGTTAAGTAAAACAAATTTCTTCGAGTAAATACTAGGGCTGTACCGGATTTCGGCTCCGGCTCCTGCTCCGGCCGAAAATCCCGGCCATTTTTACAAATCCGGCCCAAATCCGGCTCCGGCAAAAATTTAGCAAATCCGGCATAATTTTAGCCGGAGTTTTGAATTTTGTAAAATATTTATTACATTTTTTTTGCCCGTGTTTACATGTATACCTAATATTTTATTTATAAAAATCAATTTTTTTTGTAATTCTATATTTTATAAACCTCATATTTGTTTTGGTATTTGTATTTATTTTTCTTTATAATTTAATAAGCTTAGTCTAATTTCAAACAACAACGTAACAAAAAATTCTGAAGGGAAGACACACGATATTCTACAATGATGCAGGTATAAAGACTATAATGTCAACCCTAATCAAGTGATTGGATGAGCGTTTTAAAAGCATTGAAAAGAGAAACCTCTTTATATACTGACGAGGCTGGTTGACTCACAATTTAAAACTAAATTCTCCTCATTACAGGCAACGCTGACAGCTGAAAAAACAAGATTGAAATCAATCTGAGTATGCTGAACAGAAGATTGACAAAAATGAAGAAAATCCACCAAAATAAGCCGGGCTTAATAATTTTTCTACATCATCATCATCATTACTCTGGCAATTTATTGATAAAATTATTTAGTCTACGTCCGCTGGTGGCAGGGCACATAAACAACAATTACTAAAAGGCATTGAAACTCAGCTAAGGAAATATCCGAAAGAACCAGAAATAAATAGACACAATGATCCACTACAGTGGCGGAGTGACAAAATCCCGGAAAAAAAGTTCAATAGAATTACTATAAACTTTAAAAACATATGGCCTATAGAATTTCTTTAGAATTTCTATTAATTTATATATAGAAATTGCTATAAAACTTTTTAAATAACAACAATGAAGTTTAACAGAAAACAGCAGTCACTTGGTATTCTGAATAGTCCACATTGTTGACCATGCTCAAGACCAAGTAGGGATGTACAGGATTTTGGCTCCTGTAGTTTTGTTTTGAAATCCGGTTCCGGCTCCGATTCTGTCCAGATCTGTCAGTAGAAATCCGGCAAATCCTGCTTCGGTCGGATTTGAAAAAATTAAATCCGTTACAGCCCTAGTAAATACAAATTTGTTTCATTGTCTTTATATAGACATTGTCTATATATAAACGTTGTCTATATACCTACGCAACTGATTATAATTTTTAAAAATTATAATCAGTTGCGTTGGTATTTGGAAAATCATTAAATGACGTCTCTGTAACCCTAAGTATGTTGGTTTTATTTAAGGAGCTTTAATGTGTAAGAAAAATCATAACAAAATTTATCGCTGAACTCGAGTTTGAAAACCATTTCTTAAAGTAAGATTTAGTTCTTGAGAATAAATCAATTCTTTCGACTGGGTTAATTTAATCTGTCTAACATTACGCATAGTAACAGGTTTTTAATCAGAATTGCAACCTTTTTTGTTATTTTTTTGTTGTTTCATTAACTTTTTTAACAATAGATAAATCATATAGAATCAAACTAGGTACTCAAAGTAAAAAATCCAAAAAAATTAGTTTTGAAAATTACCATATTTATTGTAACACTTCTTTAAATTTATCTTCAAAAAAAAATTGAGATATTTGAGACAACTGAGCCTAATAAAAACAAAACTGTTGATTATCGAATTGTTGATACTGAAATGTAATTATACAACTATGTTTTAAAAAAATGTTAACAATCAAAAATAAATTTTTCAGAATGTTTTCCCCAAAAAAAAAAAAATGGATTCAGGTCAATGTGTACTAACTGTAATGAAAAGATTCAATTTTATGCTTCATATACATGTTCTGGGAAAATAACTTTTGAAGTAAATAATAGAATAGTTTATTCAATGCGTGCATGTGGTCAAGGTTTTTCAGGATTAGAAAAATGCATACTTTTAATGTACCCTATGACTAAAAATAACTGTTACATAATAAATAATTCTGTCTCTGACAATTTGCATAAAATTTTCACCATATGTTTATTGCATCTAATTGTACAATTGGAACTAAAGGTTTTACAATACTGCTAATTTATAAAAGATTTTGTTCACAAAAGTGCATTTTTTTAAAATACGCCATTTTCAAAAATTCTGTATAATATAATATAAATTATTTAAAACTCTTATAAATACTTTGTTTTTTAGAACAATTTTAGTAAACTTTGTAGATTACTATGTTGTTAATCATATGCCTAAAAATCTTATCTCATATGTTTTTGGTTACTGAGATAGAATGGCCGGGCTGGCCTAAACATTTTTGGATATCTGCCATTTTACTCGGTAACCATGGCAACTAATAAATTTATTTTGCAGTATTTAAAATTCTGTTAAATAGTTATTTCTCAAGATATACTTGGTTTTTTATTAAAATAATTTTTTTGATAAAAAAAAAAATTTTAGGGGTTTTTAATAAGTTATTTGAGCTAAGGAAGATTAAATGAAACTTTTGATAATTTAGTTAACCTTGTTATTGATTGTTTTTTTACATATTTTTTAATTATTTATTTATTTTTGTCAAGCAAATATTTACAATCAAAAGTAATTTCCGATTAAATATTTAAAAATATTAAATACAAGTACATTTCATTATTTATAACAGTTACGAGACCGGAGAACCTGAAGAAGATAAAATCTTATCATCAGTAACCTTTGGTAATAAAAATTGGAAATAAAAGTGTATTGTTAGAAAAAATCATGTAAAGAATCTTGATTGGCAATAAGTTTGATTATGTTCTTTTTAAATTTTTTAAAGGTATTGGCTTCTTTAAGTTTACCACTCAGGCTTATAAAATGGTTCCATAGCATTGGGCCACGATAGGAAATGACAAAGCTCGTAAGTTTTGATGTACGGAAAGATTTTTTAAATCTTCAGGTAGATCGAGTATTGTATCGGTTTAATGTTTTACGGAAAATATTTTTGAAAACCTTCGGCGTTTTTTTTGACTGATGTTGAAACATAAATTGTGTAATTTTGAAAATATTTAGTTCATAAATATCAAGTGCCCTCATGCTTTTTAGAAGAGGTTAAAGCATTTGTGAAGCGATTTTGAAAATGAATAATGCGTGCTGCATGATTTTGTTGTTTAAGGAGACAGTCGAGTTTAGAATTATTTGTACTACCCCAAACAATATTGCCATAAGATAAATAACTATTTATGAATGCAAAATATAGTTGAGTTAGTGAAGATTCGCCTAAGATTTGTCTGGTTTTATATAAAATGCCAATACTTCTTGAGATTTTATTGCTAATATTTTAAAAATCATTTAAATATGATTTATATGAGCTCTCCAGGATATGTTTTTGTCTATCAAAATACCAAGTAATTTATTTGTGAATGAGCGTTCAATTTCGGTGTTATTTATATACAGCATTGGTAAGGATTTTTGAATTTATTGAAACTTTCGTTTAGAATGGAATAAGGAAAACTTAGTTTTATCAATTTTTAAAGATAGACTGTTAGCAATAAGCCCATTTGATACTTGTTCTAGTTCATTATTTGCTACTTGAAATAGAGAGATAATATTACTATGAAAATAGAAAAAAATGGTATCGTCTGCAAACATAATAGTAGAGATAGTGTTTGATGCTTTAAATAGATCGTTGACATAGATTAAGAACAATAGCGGACCTAAGATTGAGCCTTGTGGAATCCAACATGATACTTTAAGTTTGTTTGTCTGAAAGCCATCATTTAGAGAAATAAACTGCTTTGGATCAGTTAAGTAACTGGTAGACCATTTATGGTTTTCGTGGCTTCCATAAAATTTTAGTTTTTCTAATAAAATCTGATGGTTAACGGTTTCAAATGCTTTTGACAAGTCAAGGAATATACCTAAGGTGAATTTGTTATGAGCAGATGCTCCACTGATAACTTCAACAAGTTTCATAAGTGCATGTTCCGTAAAGTAATTTGATCAAAAACCATATTGGTTATAAAAAAATATTTAAAGTGACACAAATGGATAATGTTTCTCCATTACTGTGCAAGGGCTAGAGCTACTCCAAGAAGGGGATTCATTTTTTGTTTATGTTAATTTTTTTAGATGCCCCAAGAAGTCCGTACGGTCTTATCACAGTGCACTGCGGATGAGCATTTAATAGGAAGTTCATGCCTCTTATAAAAATATTTATAAACGTAAGTTTTCATCATATTAATCTAAAAAGAACACAGTTGGCGTCACTTATTTTTTTACAAATAAAAAATACATTTTTACATATAAAAAACAGTTACATTTTTACAAATAAAAAATCTCGATACGTCGAAAATTTTGATTTATTTCTCACCTAAATTTAAAACTTACAACACCATATTAAATCTTGATAAAACAGCTGTTAAAAAATGCGCATTTGACCTTATGCCACGCAAGAATTAAACAATTTTATGCGTGTTTTGTAAAAATTAAAGATTTATGAACTGTAAAATGGCGTCCGATCAAAAGTTTTTACGAACTGACTGAGAAAAAAAATAGTTTAAAAGAAAAAACAATTCACACCGCCTTATATCCTTGACCAGGCATCGAACCTAGGACCTCTCAATTATAAGCCAGCTTATAATTGAGAGGTCCTAGGTTCCAATTATAATTATAAATTTAGCTCTGATTTAAATTATCAACAAATAAAATACATACCGGAAAAAACGCAGTTACAAAGTCGATCGAAAAAACAGTAGGTCGAAAATAAAGTAGGTTGAAAATTTAGTAGATTGAAAACGCAGTAGGATTAAAAATTAGTAGTTCATGTTTTAATTAGTAGTAAGTTTAAAAAATCAAAAGTTGTAGGTTGAAAATCAAAATTGTCATATTCTATCATTTTAAAAATTTCAAAATTAGGTCCAGTTATAGGCCACCATATATATATATATATATATATATATATATATATATATATATATATATATATATATATATATATATATATATATATATATATATATATATATATATATATATATATATATATATATATATATATATATATATATATATATATATATATATATATATATATATATATATATATATATATATATATATATATATATATATATATATATATATATATATATATATATATATATATATATATATATATATATATATATATATATATATATATATATTTAAACATGGTTTGCTTGTTTGTTCATATCGGGTTTTTCCAATATAAATGAATGAATGAATTATATGAATGATATGAATCAGTGGCGGATTAAGACTTCTTGGGGCCCGGGGCTATTTTTGTTTTTGGAGGCCTTTTTATGCGCCAGAGCCTAAAAATGACCTTATTTTTTAATTCAACTTTGTTTTTAGCACGATCCAAAATCGAAAAGCATTTATCATTATGATTTTTAAAACATTTTTCTTTTGAGTGAAGATGCTTATAAATAAGAGTTTTTAACCCTTCTTTAGTGTTCAATCACTCACGTCATTAGGTGGCGAGAGGTTTTGCCAATATAATAGGATTTACATCCTGCACAAACAAATTTGCAGACGACGAATGATTTAAAATCTTCAGGAAGGTGATCTTTAAATGAAAAAAAATTAGACACTTTTAACGAAGTAAATACTAATTTTACGGTAACCGACTTACAATGTTGCGTGTAATCTTCGTTTTGTTAGTTCAGATATTCGACCAATATAAGGGAGTTTGAATTAGCGAGAGTTTGTGAGGTCTTCAGACGGTAATAGAACGACATAATTATCTTTATCTAAGTAAGAGTTGTGGATTTTTTCTATTAGCCAAGATGGGTACATATTACGTTTGAGAATTTTGAAAAGATTTTTAATATCATAGCGGAGACCAAGGGTAGTGTTGTTAATTTTGAAAGTTCTATCGGTTACACATTTTATAAGACTTATTTTATATGAAAACGAAATAAAGCTGTATAAAAAGTTGATGTATAATCCAGTGAAGGTTTTTTTATGAAAAACTGATGTAATTGTTGAACTGCTCGACTTACATAGAGTTATGTCCAAAAAAGATATTTTTTAGTTTTCTTCCTTTTCCAAAACTATTAATGAATAAAATGAAATCATTTTTAACAATAGAAACCACGTGAAGGTAAGCCAGAGCCGTCTATCATAAAAATTTAATTTAATTATTCAATTAAAATTTATTTAATTTGCAATTTAACACTGTATTTACATTTGAAAGTGGTAATTATCTATGGGTACCACTTTTAAATTTATTATATCACAAACAACATTGAAAACATGCAAAATATTTATTGCAACTACTATACTTGTTAATTATTAATATTCTTTTTTAGAATTACTTTAGGTGAAAACTTAGGTGAAAAAAAAAAATAATAATAATTTATTGTAAAAATTGGGACAATAAGGAAAACAAATTAATTAATATTGTAAATTATCAAAGGAAAATAAAGTAATGGTGGTACCGTGTTAACTTTTTAATTGTTTATCTTGAAGTTAACATGATGGCTGCCACCATTACGGCTTTGTCGACCTCATTTGCTACCACGACCACTTGCTTTACCTCTGCTGCTATCCCCAGCAACCCTGAACCCCTGTTTTGAGGTAATAGGGCTATCTAAAAAGCGGATCATCTTTGCCCCCAAACACGACCCATTGCAAATATGATCTGTTGCTGATTGGTTCTGTGAAGCCTATAGGCTTCATATGTAAGCTCTAAAAGCAAATAAATAATAAATACATTTGTAACAAATAGCATTATGTAACACTTAATATAAACATTTTACTAGTTAAAGTTTATTTAAATATATAAAATTATTGACTAATAAATCACTGATTGGTAAACAAGTTTTTAATAAGAATAAAAATTTAAATACTGCTATTGACTTTCCTTTTATGAGAACTCAAAGGAGAAAACGATATAAATGTATTAAACAGTGTTTACAAATACGAATAATAAAAATTTGATAACTATTCAAATACATTTTAATTCATAACTTTACCAGCAGAAGGTTGAGCAAGTGGAACTAAAGGTAAAAAAAGTTTTCATTTAAAGATATTACAATTGCTTTGAATATAATTAATAAACCTTTGAATATAATTAATTTATGTGATTGTTGATGTAGACCAATCATAAATTTTCTTAAAACTTTTTAATTATATAATTGGCCATATGTTTGCAGTCTGATTGTAAAAAAGTCATTTGCTAACATTTTTATTAGTTGTGTGGAATGCATGTCTTCGGTGACAGATTCATACTCAGCATCGTGTTCATTTAGTTCTTTGAAAAAATGTTTTTCACTAATAATTTTATTAACTGCATAAATCATTTTTAGTTTAAGATTTCGCTCCACATTCATTTTTGGTTTTTGGAAATTGTCATTGCTGACATAAATTTTGAAAACGCTCTCGCATACTATTATAGTTTGTATAACATCATTTCTTGGAGCAATAAACCCATTTCTATTTTTTATGCTAATCAATGAAAGAACTGATGCTCCATAAGAATATTCCACCAAGTTTTTTTTGGGATATAAGTTAGTTTGTATACACAGAACATGTTATCTTAAAATAATCTTCTTACAATAAATCCAGAGCTACTTAAGGATTACAATCCTTAAGTAGCTCTAAATCACATAACACATTTCTAGTTAATTTTAGCATTTGACTTGGGTCAGGGATTACATACAAGTAGTGATGATAGCCTTCAAAAGTAAATTGTCCATTAATTTTTTCTAGTTTTTTCCCAAATGTCAGGTCAGGTTTTCCTGTCAGGTCAGGTTTTCCTGTCAGGTCAGGTTTCCTGTCAGGTCAGGTTTTCCATGTCAGGTCAGGTTTTCCTGTCAGGTCAGGTTTTTTCCCAAAGGTCAGGTCAGGTTTTCCTGCTACTGGTAACATGTAACCCAGTACAACCTGCTCCATGTCCTGCTGCCTTGTAGGATACGCTTTTTTAGGCAAAGGCTAGGAGAAGTTAACTCCGAATTAAAACACCCCCTGCCTTGGGGCTCTTGGTTGAGTAAAGGGTAGAGATGGTGTCTCGATAAAAATACTCATCTTGGGCAGATGTTACATGCATCCAGCTGCTGTCTTGTAGAAGGCCTCCTAGGCAAAGACTTAAGAGGGTAAACAGATTCTATCTGTTGACCAGCCTCGCACCCCTTCCTCATCTATTAGGATGGCGCAGATGTATTCTTAATACATTGTTTCCAGTTTAGGATGTTGAACGCTGGATCTTCTTGACTCAATGCGTGGGTATTGCTTGTGTCTCTATTTTTATGACTGGGCAACTCATTCTATTATCTCCTAATGAGGGTACAGCTCTAAAACTCAGTTTTATGGTTCTGAGGCCGGCTAGTAGTCAGGTTTCCCGAACTCTGTGGTAGCTCTCAGAGAGGCTGATTCCATCAACAGCCGAAAAATATCAGAGTACTAACAGTGCCATGTTGCGCATGGATGGTGTCCCTGTTTGTACTTTTGGTGTGCATTGCAGAGGCCACATTTGGAGCCCTTTGTTACGGCTTAGGGTTTATTAAGAGTAATGAGGCTATTGCTTAGTTGTTAAATAGTGTACTGAGTACTATCTATACTTGAGTCAAGTTCTTTATAAATTTAAAATGACTAAAGTACCTAAAACTAAAAAATACAAAAAACTATCGTCATCACCAAGTTCTCTAAACCTATCATTTACTAATATTCGTGGTCTTCGAAGTAACTTTTCTTCTGTTGAGTCTTATCTCTTGCAAAGTTCACCAGACCTACTTGCTCTTTGTGAGACTAATTTGAGTTCGGCTGTCCCATCTTGTGATCTTAGTGTTGATGGTTATCTTCCTTTAATTCGTAAAGACTCCAATAATCACATGCTTGGCCTGGGCATCTACATTCGTAAGAACTCACCCATTTGTCGTGAAACTAGGTTTGAATCTACGGACTATTCATTTATGTGCTTTCGTTTAGCACAACTTCACTCTATCGCCTTTCTCTTTGTTCTATATCGCTCTCCTTCATCCCAAGATTGCACTATTCTTGATGTTATTTCTGATCAAATTGACCAAGCCCTCTCTCTTTATCCATCGGCCAATATCGTCGTTGTTGGTGACTTTAATGCCATCACACCGATTGGCTTGGCTTTAGTGTCAGTGACTCTGCTGGCGTTAAGGCCCTCAACTTTTGCCTTTCTCAATCTCTAACTCAAATAGTCAACTTTCCAACTGGTTTTCCAGACAACCCTAATCATTTACCTTCTCTACTCGACTTATGTCTTGTTTTGGATCCTAGTCAGTGCTCAATTTCTCCACATTCACCCTTAGGTACTTCTGATCACGGTTTGATCTCTCTAAAACTATTATCAAATTCTTCTACTTCATCAGAATCCCCCTATCATCGTACCACATACAACTACCTTAAAGCTGACTGGGACTCTTTCCGTGATTTTCTTCGTGATGGCCCTTGGGTAGAAATCTTTCGTCTTCCTGCTGACAAATGTGCTTCTTACATAACTTCGTGGATTCAGGCTGGCATGGAATCTTTTATTCCCTCTCGACGATTCCAGGTTAAGCCTCACTCTTCTCCTTGGTTTTCCTCACATTGCGCTGCAGCAATTTCTAATCGAAACCGTTACTTCCATATCTATCAGCAAAACAATTCTCCAGAAAACAGACATCTGTTCACTATCGCCAGAAACCATTGTAAAAAGGTTTTGTCTGACGCCAAAACTCGCTATTCCCAGGTCATTAAATCTCGTATCTCATCACAAAAATTAGGCTCTCGAGACTTCTGGAGAATCTTTAACAGTATCAATAATAAGGGCAAATCTGTTATTCCTTCTCTCTTGTATGGTTCAGACTTTGTCACCTCACCTAAAGACAAAGCTGAATTATTTGCTAAGAACTTTTCATCAATATCATCTCTTGATTCCACTAGTTGCGTTTTACCTGACATAGCTGTCAAACAGGTTGATCCCTTGCTTGACATTCGCATCACTTCAGCTTCTGTATCTAAAGTAATTTCCTGCTTAGACTCTTCAACAGCTTGTGGTCCTGACAACATTCCTGTTGTAGTTTTGCAGAGGTGTTCTCCGGAGCTTTCATCCATACTTTCTAAACTATTTAACAAGTGCTTATCAGAGTCTTGTTTTCCATCATGCTGGAAAGCAGCATCTGTTATCCCTATTTTCAAAAATTCCGGAGAGCGATCTGATTCATCTAACTACCGTCCCATTAGTCTTCTTCCTGTCATAAGCAAGGTTTTTGAATCTTTAATCAACAAACGCTTAATCTCTCATCTTGAATCAAATAACTTACTTTCTGATCATCAATATGGATTTCGGTCTTCTCGTTCTACAGCTGATGTGCTAACAGTAATAACCGATAGGTTTTACCGTGCATTAGATAGAGGTGGAGAGGTTAAGGCTATCGCACTTGACATTTCTAAAGCTTTTGATAAAGTTTGGCATGCTGGTCTTCTCCATAAGCTTTCTTCTTATGGTGTAGCTGGTAACGTCTTTAAGATTATTGAGTCCTTTCTTTCCAATCGTAGTATAAAAGTTGTCCTCGATGGACAACACTCTTCTTCACATCCTGTAACTTCAGGGGTTCCTCAAGGTTCAATCCTTGGCCCTATACTCTTTTTAATTTACATTAACGATCTTCCAGATATTCTCACATCTAAGGTGGCATTATTCGCTGACGACACTACCATTTACTCTTGTCATGATAAGAAGCCTACACTCTCTGATTGCTTGGAGGGGGTATCTGAGCTTGAAAAGGATCTTACTTCTGCTACAGCATGGGGCTCACAGTGGCTGGTGAACTTTAATTCAGATAAAACTCAATTTTATTCGGCCAATCGTTATCGTAATAATTTAGATCTTCCTATATTTATGAATGGTAATGTACTAGATGAGTCATCTACCATTCATCTTCTAGGATTAACTCTTACTTCTGATCTTTCTTTTAAACCGTATATCAAATCCATTGCAAAATTAGCATCTGCTAAGGTTGCATCTCTTTATCGAGCTCGACACTTTCTTACTCCAGATTCTATTCTCTATCTCTATAAATCTCAAATCCGTCCCTGTATGGAATACTGTTGCCACATCTGGGGCGGATCTTCTAATGATGCTCTTTCTCTTTTAGACAAGGTGCAAAAACGAATTGTAAACATAGTTGGACCTGCTCTGGCAGCCAATCTCCAACCTTAGTCACATCGTCGTAATGTTGCTTCTCTTTCTCTTTTCTACAAATACTATAATGGGCACTGCTCTAAAGAGCTAGCGTCCCTTGTGCCATCTACTAAAATTCATTCTCCTTAAAAAGCGTTGCATAGGCGTCGCAACTTAACGTTGAAAAAACTTTATTTAAAAAGCGTTACTTTAATGTTGTTAATGCAGTTGATTTTGCAAGGTTTTGTAACATTGGTAGTAAAACGTCGATTTAATGTGATTCAAAGACGTCGAGTAAAGGTTGATATATAACGTTAAATCAATGCTTAAATGCGCTGGAGAAAATATCGTAAAATATTATTAAACGTAATTAAGCTTGGCTATAATGTATACTGACTTGGCAAATAAAACTAAAATTGTTTGTTAAACTCTGCACTTGCAATATTTCCAAAGTCGATTTTTAATACAAACATTAATATACAATGAGAAATATAAAAAATATACAATTTATTTATATAAAATATACTATTTATAGATAAAAATATAAACATCTTTTTTAAGACTTATGTGTGTGAGTGGATTAACAGGATTTATGTTTGTGAGTAAATCTATGTGTGTGAGTGGATCTACAGGATATTGTATCGATATACCAGGATATCATTGAGATTTAAACATCTAAGATAAGATACGAGGTTTAGTAAACTGAGAATAACAGAGATTTACATAAGACAAGACTTTATTTATACATTAGCTTATTGCAATATTAAAAAGGACAATTTGTCCTTTTTATTATTGCTTTGACCTCTCCAAATATCCTACGCTCTTCACTCTGTTATTAGCTTCTTTTATTTTCTATGTAAGGTTTTGAGGTTATTAAATTACTTCTTTCTAACTACTGTAGTGAAGTTATTTTTGAAGGCCTACCCTCTTAATTTCAAGTAACTTTAAGGTTCTATATTTGCTCCTGTAATATTTTTTATCTACAATAACAATCATAATGAAATCTAAAGTGGCTCTATTTGCTGATGACTCCACTTTATACTCTTGTATTGACAATAAATCTTGACTTTTTAATTGCTTAGAACAAGCAGCCAATTTTAAATCTCATCTCTCTTCTGTAATAACCTAAGGCATGCTGTGGCTTATAGATCTAAATTCTGGACTTTAAATCCACAATTTTTGTTAGACAACAAAATTCATTTATTTACTGCAAAAAAATATTGCAATAATGTTGGCATTCCTAGATTGACAAATAACAACCCTCTTACTCTCAGACAAAGTCTAAAAGCACATCGTAAATATAATTAGATCTGCTTTATCTGCCAAGCTTAAGCCATTTTCCCATTGTTATAATGTTGTATTTCTTCCTTTTCTCTACAAATATAATCATAGCCAATGCTCAAACGAATTATCATCTCTATAACGATAAACCAAAACTCGTTCTCGCTTGGCTATTTATTCAACAAGTTGCACCCTTTAATTAAGTTTGTCTCTTCATGCAATAAAATCTTTTTAAAACATGATAAATAATTCAATTTTTTAACTAGTAAATTAGATTTTAAAATATATAAATGTATGCCAGTATTTAATAAATAGTAAATGTAAGCATAAAATTATGATATATTAAGCATTAAAATTTTTTTCTAGCCCTGGCTATCAACCTCTGTTAAATCTTATAATTTTGCTGAGTCCGGGTTTGCGAAAAGTCACATTTTTTTTTTACAGTTAGTTATTTACCAACTTATATATATATATATATATATATATATATATATATATATATATATATATATATATATATATATATATATATATATATATATATATATATATATATATATATATATATATATATATATATATATTATAGTCATGTATCCATACATTAATTAACTTAATAAAACTTACTTCAATAGTTGTAACTATAAATCATCAATTTTAATATTATGTACTTTGTTCATAAGATGGAAACCAGTTAAAACCATGTCATTCCTCGATCTTTGATTTACCAGAACTTTACTAAATAAGTTTACACTGGTAATCAAACTACCACAAGTTAAAAAATGTTAACTTGTGGTAGTTTGACAGTATTATTGAAATCAGCTTTGACCAATAGTTAAAATTAGATTTTTTTTTATTCTTTACTACATTAAAAATATATGAAAATAATATAAATGTATATAAAAAGCAAAGAAAAGTTAGATCCAAAGAGAAACAAAATTATTTACAAACATAATTACTTACATACTTCTTTAGAGTCCTCTGCAGTTGTGAAACTAAATCATTCACATATTTCTTTATCTATTAGTAATTAATTAGTAAAAAAAATATAAACAAAAATATGTAAAAACAAAAATGTAGAATAAGTGTAAACAGATTACAATATATATCTAGGCAGTAATAATACCATAAACAGATTCAAAATATTACTTATTCCGAAATAAAAATAAAGTAGTTAATTTGATATTGTACTTCACCGTTAATATAAACTATAATATATAATTATATAATAATATATAAATTTTTTATTCATATAAAACAATTAAAATAGCAATAAGTACTGTAAAATTTAATGACTTCAAATTCAAACTTCAAATTAGATATGATTCATCACTAATTTGATTCACATCTAATTCTTATTATTAATATGATATGAAATACAAGGTGAAACCTTTATTTTCTTTCTCCATTTTATTTCTAAATGAAATATAAAATCAAAGTCTTATTTTATTAATTACTAAAAATCGTTTTAATAAAACAATTTCTTTTAAATTTACAAATTTTTTAACTATATTTTTACTCTAAAATATCTAGGTTTACAATATCAATTTATGGCATAAGTCAAATATTGCTAATATGAATGCTATATATGTAAAATAAATATAAATACAAATAATCAATGGACCCCTCTGTCTCCTGCGTCAACATCAGGTAAAATGTAAATTAGGTAACAAAAGTGCAGCAAGAAATAAAGTGACTGCTACAAAATATTTTTCAACGAAATTTGGCAGGTGCATAGATAAATAAATAAATTTAACAAAAAAATTGGATAGAAAATGGACATTAATGTCCTGGACATTAATTTCACCACAGAAGTAATTTATTCACTCACACAACTCCTAGTTATGATATCCTATAAAAAACAATATTATCTCTGGAAGGGGCTCACAATGAAAACTTGTGTAGGTAGACTTGGTGAAAACTTAAGTAGTTTACGTAATCTTTATTCAATTATTACTCCTGTGATGTTTCTCATAGTTTAGAAAATGAAGTGCCTTTTGTTTAGCATATTATGTTGGGAATACTGTTAGAGCTGTATAAATTGTTTAGCATATTATGTTGGGAATACTGTTAGAACTGTATAAATTGTTTAGCATATTATGTTGGAAATATTATTAGAGCTGTATAAATTATTGTTAAATGAATGCAAGACTTTAGACTGGTTTATATTAATTTAATAATGAAGATGTGAGAGCAAGTGCAAAGTTGAGTGCTAAAAGCTGAATATTCTCATACAGCAGAAGCGCTACAAGTGTAATAAGTGATATGAGAATTATGAGTGGATGTCAGAGCAAAGATATAGCAAGTCTTGATATTTATATTTATTTTAATTTAAAAAAATGCTTTCATAAGAGCATTTAGATGTTGACTATAACTGCAGATAGAGTGCGAGGATCATTAAAAAAAAAATACAAAACTAACATACAGGTGGTTGCACCCCAAAAGCCACGCTAAAGTAGGAGGGTCTAGATTTATTTTCTAGGGACAGATCATAATTTTGTTAATATGGGTTCTGAAAGATAAGCCTAAATAGGGTTCTTCCTGGTAGGTATGGTTTTTTAAGTCTCGCTTGAGTTCTTTTTCTAGAATGTTGAAGTTAACCACACTTTTTTTCATGCACCCCAAAAACAACATTGACAAAATTGGCTATAAAATCTAAACTATTTGGAATTAAGACCTGATTTTTTGTAGAAGATAGTTATAATAAATTAGTCTTAGGATGATTGTATCATTGCTAACTTAAATTTTTAGGATGTACTTCAATGTACCACAAAAACCACATCATGTGCACCCCAAAAACCACGTTGGTTATTTGAATATTTTAAAAAATATATAAAATAATTCAATAAAAAAATTTTAGGATGTACTCTAAGATAGTAGCTCTTTGTCATCATAAAAAAAAAAAAAAAAAAAAGTTAATGTATTGTGGAAATACTACCATTGAACTATGTTATGTTTTTTGTTGTTTTAGAGTTTTGTTTAATATAATATTATAAAGTAAAATGAAACCATCATCTGCATTACATCTACGTATAAACAAATCAAGAAATCTCAGTACTAAAGCTGATGCCATAGTGGCCAGAAAACACACAAATGATAAAAATAAACAGTTAGAAGCTGCAATAAATTGGTGCAAAAAATTTAATGGAAGGGGACAAGCAGCATTAAAGACAGGTTTGTTTCCCCTTATTAAAGATAGAGAGACAATCAACAGGCGATTAGATGGAAAAGTGATTAATGGAAAAGAAAGAGATTATTGTACTATACTTACAGATGATGAAGAAGCATCTATT